TCAGCAGGTAAGTGAGGTAGGTACAGAGCTCTTTGGGCCTGCCTGACACTTATTCTGAAAATAGAATTTTTTTTCCCTTCTTGCTCTCTTTCAGGTGTCTGCCCTTAGCTGCAATGAAGCAAGATTCATACCGCAGATGATAAAGATGATGAATGAAGAAACAAGAGGCCCATTCCAAATTTTATGGCTATTGAAACATTTTATTTTAATTTTAGGATATTTAATGAAAGAGAGAGAAGCAGAGACAGGCAATATCTGTGCAGCCAGGTCACATTTGCAGCCTGGAAATTTTGGAAGTCCTGCACAAGTAGATGCCACCAGTTTGGGAAATGCAGCTCGCAAAGTGAGATCCTTCAGGCTCGCTTAATATTGGAAGAATATTATTTACTAAGCTAGCATGAAAATATTATTTGTAGATCTATAGTACTGCCAGTATTTACTCCAAAACTACAGCAATGCAAAAAAATCACCATAGACAATCACATGTAAACCAATCATTTTTGTGGAGGTATTTTAACATCTAAGATTCTCAGGTTAATGAAAATATATATATAGTGTTTGATTGTTGAGATAGGCCTCAGTATCATACAAATTTAATGAATTATTATTACTACTATTTACAAAAGCTATAGTCAAGTTAACAGTAAAGCTGAACTATCTATTTACATATGCAACAGAACAGATGCAGGATAAATCCTTTTGGCCTTGCATGAGCAGTTTCTCAATATTATCTGTTAAACAGGTCCTCTTTTTCCAGGCTTCCATGCACAGGCTTCTTGTCACAGAAACATACCCATCCCTTATACCCATTTATGTGGCAGCACTTAAGCAGTTTTGATTTCAGAAAGTATAATCAGACTTAGTTAGTACTGGGACAGGAGACCACTAAGAAAGTTTTAGTTTAGACTGGAAGTCTAAAATTATCCTGAAAAAAGGCTGTGGCAAATTAAGAAAAATTATATTGGCATATCGTGAAGTCACTAATAGTCGAGCTGGACGGGAGTGGGTTTTTTTTTTTCTTCAACACATGTACATAATAAAATTACAATTTGTTTCTGGATCAGATCAGCAAGCTAATTGTTTGGTTTAGCAACCATCCAGTTGCTTTCTGGAAATATTATAAATGAATGGCAGCATGGTTCTGGTTATAGCAATTGCTTTTGTTAATATCTGACTACTACAAAAGTGTATTACCTCTGACTGTATGTGAAGAATGTGTTTTGGCTGCCAGCTAGTGCTTTATTAATTGTTCTCATTTTCATTTAATGTATTTTTAAAATAGACAAAAATCTAGGGAATGCTGTTGGCTGGCTGTTGCAGAATAAAAAATATTTTTATTATAAAAATAAAGATCTTAAACATTAAGATATGATTGTATATGGGTTTCCTAGATCATCATATATCATATATCAAGAACTATTGCTGAATGTGAAGTAGCCAATAAATGTAACAATAATAGCCACCTTTTTTTTGGCGGGGGGCGGGGGAGGTGGATTAAGTTACATGAGTTCATTGCCCAGATAGATAAACATTTGTTCTCCTTTTTCTCTGGGTCTGAATGTAAGATCATGAATGAAATTTTCTTTCATTTTTAAAAGTCATTGTTTTGTTTAAATTATTGTGAAGATGGTTTAATAAGCAGCCGTCAGTGTCCTTTGCAAACAAGATGAAGAAGTAGGTATTTATTTATTATATGTGAATTTTGATGAGAAAAGGCTGCCTGTAAATTTCATCTAGATGAAACTAGGAGAGCTTCCACCCTGTAGTCCTATGTCATCATGTGGGAAGAAAAATCCTTCTGGGTTCAGTTCCAAGTGGGGAAAATGACACTGGAAACATGGAGGCTCTTTGGAAGGTTTAATATCAGGACCACATGGTTTGGAGCTCCAGAGTGAAAAGGAAGAGATCAATAAAAAGGGCTGAGGTACCAAGGGTGCCTGAGTTTTATACCCTCTGTTGGGATTTGAATTGGAGCTTGTATTCTAATTGGTTGTCAGACCCCCTCAGGGGGCCATGCAGGAGCAACTCTGTAGGCTGTCCTGAATTCCAGGCTTGGTTGAACCTTGCTGGATGATTATGCACTTAAAAGGGCTTTTGGCAGTTGTTATAGCTTTACCTGCAGATCTTTGTTATGTAAATTATTCTGGCCTTAATGGCCCACCCATTAACAAAGGTGGGGGTGAGTTTTTGCTTCTGAGGTGAGTTTCTGCTTCTGAGTTTCTACTCTTTTTAGAGGAAATAGTCTGCCTTTTTAATATTTCCTAGGCTATTTCAATTTTCTAGGAGAGGGGTGGGTGCTAACTTCCTACAATCAATAATATACATTTATAAGAGATTGTGCTTATCTTCCTACTATACAAAGCTTTTGCTGACTTTAGAGGTAAATTGTTAAGACAAGAAAAAGCTGGCCTGGCTGCATTTCTTTTTCCTGAATAGTTGGTAATCTTAACATAGAAATTTACAATGTATTTTACAGTAGGAATCTTGTGAATATTCTTTTAGCCTTAACTTTAGTAATTTTTATTCTCATGAAATTGGACTATAATCTTGAAATAAATCAATGTAGTTTGCTTCATACTGATTTAGCATGTTGTATGCATTAAGCCCTTCTGTTTTACAAGTCATATTTTTGTTTAATGCAGTGTGCAATTGCCAATGTATTTTATTCAACTATAGCTAAAAATCTGATCTTACTATAATCTCGGAAGTTAGTACTTTTGTTTATTACCAAGTGTTGAGCTAATGCAACCACTTTAAAAGAAACTGTAACTTTCTGCAGACTTGAGTTTTAATCAATTTATATTAACAATATTGTCCAATTAAATATAAATTTTACTTTAGAGCTTTTGTATAAATTCAGAGATTCTCTGAGAAGAAATGATATCCCCAATATAACCATATTTAAAAATAGTTGATACTTAAGTACAGTTTGAGCAGAATAGTACGGTAGTCAAAATTAATATTCATTCTGCTTGATTATGTCTCCATACATTTTATGATTGCAAACCTGTCCATACTTCCCTGGATATCCAGTCCTCTTATATTAAATGGGACATGCTTGTGTGGAAAAACATGCTTATAAATTGTATTTATAGCTCTAGGTAAGCATGTTTTTCCAAACAAGCAAATACCATACTTACCTGCAGCTATAAATACGATTCTTTGAATTTTTAAAATAAAATCCTTATGAATTCAGTAGAATTAAAATCACATACAGCACTGAGGAATAAAAACAATTCATGAAGTCGATATTGAAAGGTTTTGTTTCTGGATTCATCCACCTTCTATTTGTATTAATGTTTAGATAGAGGGCTGGGTTCCAGTTATCCTTCCTGATTGCTTACTGCCCAAATGGAAGCTTCACAAATGAACAAAAGAGCAAAGTTTACAGGGACTGGAATGGGAGGAGTGACTAAACCTAAACTTTATATGTTAGATTTTTTTAATTTCTTGAGTATTTGGCATTATTCCCAGTGATCAATTCATACTAAGCATATCTGTGACTGTTTACTCAGAAGCAAAACTGTGATTTGTCAAATTTATTCACATGTAATTAGCTAGTTTAGCATGATTTAGTATAACAGTAAAGGGGCACCAATGTTAGATGACATGGTACTAAAACTGAATTAAGTATTGATTTTCTTAAGTTTTTAAGAAGTGTGGGTTATATTAAAAAGGTGGAAACTGTTACATACTTGATATTGGGAATATTTTAATTAAAAAAAACATGCTACCCAGTTCTCTCAACCCCACACATCCCAAGGGAAGGAAAGGGTCAGACATATTGCTTTCCAGACAAAAAAAACTTTGGAATGGGCAATCTCAGAGCCCATAAAAAGGCCTCTACTCTCTTGACCATGGAACAAGTATTTTGTGGCAAGATGAGAAACAGGAGAACTAGACGAGGTTTCTAAATCCTAGTTGTAATGCAATTGCCTTTCCAGAAATTACATCAGTGAATAAGAATGTGCAAAGACAAGGTAAAGAAATGCAAGAATGGACTCAAGATACTTTTGGCCTGATTATATTAGAGACATTTCAGTAAAGTTGGATGCTTATTCTCCATTGGCTCAAAAATTTTAAAGTAAACTCACTTGCTAAAGTGAATATAGATCTAATATTTATGTTACAATGAAAACTAAACATAGTATTAACCTGTATATTATAACTAGGCTACAATGCCCTTCAGATCACAGTAATATTCTAACAATGATCATTTTTGCAGTGAAGTAAAGTACCACCACCATTAACTGGACCCCCCACTCCAATTTTATTTTTTATCTGAAGGGCATTATAAAAAATATTTTTAAAATTGCCTATCTCTTTTCAGTGGAACAAGAATTTCCCAAAGCCACAACATCTTACCATAAGGATTTTTTAAATTACTATTATTACAGAGAGGCAGATATGATACAGAGGATGCCAGCTCTGAAATCTGAGACTTTAGCCAAGCATTTGTTGTCTCGTTTATCCCGGATATGACATTGGCCAGCAAATGCTTCCCAGGCATTTAGATTTCTTATATTTGCTTTTTAGAATTGGAAAGTTTGGAAATAACCCTAGTGCACAGGCGTCTAAATTGTAAACAAACGATTTTTGCCTTAAGGCGAGCTTTGGAAAAACAGATCTTAAATAAATTTTAAAAAGGGAAATGAAAAGCAGTTGATCATGGGGAAAAGTTTCAAGGTGTTTCTCAGCTTCAGCGCCTTAAAAATAAATGCATTTTTAAGATCGCTTTCATCGTTCCTCCCTCTATTTTTCCAAAAATCTGTTAGACGTTTTCAACATATTATCTTGTGACTATCATTCCAGAATTCATTAGCTGAGGTCCTGGGAAACGCACCGCGAGATCTCGAGTTATGGGAATCCATCCCTCTCTCTTCAAGTTGTTAATTTAAGCAGCCTTTCTTCGGCTTTCCCCCACTGCTGTGTGAGACTGACACCAATTGCTGCTGAATAGCTCAGGGAGAGAGAAGGGGAGAGAGGAGGAGGAGGAGGAGGGAGGTGGGTATCATGTGATTCGCTTTCCTGCTCCCTTTAAAGCAGCCACATGCACTCGAGGGCCGGCTACAATCACAGCTCTCGGTACGGAGGGAGTCCGGTCCGGGCTTTTCCGGGCAATCGGTGCTGAGGTTTCCCTCTTCCTTCCCATTCCTTTGCAGCTTTAACTTTTACAGCCGCCACCACCACCGCCGTCGCAGAGAGTGCAGGAGAGAAAGCACTGCAAAAATGGCTGGGGCAATTATCGAGAACATGAGCACTAAAAAGCTCTGCATTGTTGGCGGGATCTTGCTGATTTTCCAAGTCGTCGCTTTTCTGGTGGGGGGTCTGATAGGTAAGTGTTCCAAAGGCAAACTTTTTCCTCTCTTCTTCCTCCTCTTTTTCCGACTCGGGCTTCACCCCTTGTCTGTTTGGATACTTGTTACTGTATCCCTGGCTTGCTTCCTATGATCTCATTTGCCCTGCTATTGTAGTTAAGAAAACAGCGCGCCGCCGGGCCTCTTTGTGCCCACTGCGGTCTAGGGCCGCAAGCAAAGGAAGGCAGGGAGGCGTCGAAAAAGTTTAGGGCAGGGGGAGATTTGCCACGGCTTTAGGATCTGCTTGACGGAAACAAACGTTAGGATGAATCTCTAAGCATGGCGACTTAGTTGGTGCAAAACCGCTCGGAGTGGAAAAGTTGATCAGGCTCTTCATTTCTCTCCGGCCGCCCCCCCAATCCGCCTTTCCTCCAACTCGGCTGCAAGAAGGGCCCTAATCTCCTTCAAAGAAAAAGTGGAACCGCTCCTGCCCACGAAAGGCACGTTCCGGCATTGTATCCCATTTAATGGGTCTTTGCTTTCTTCCTTTTTTCTCTGGAGCACTGCGTGATTTTTGCCTAGGCAGCCTCTCTTTAGATTGGATTTCAGACTCCTAAGGGCGGGGAAGGGTTTTGTTAGAATGGGAGGAGGAGGCGCAGGAGGAAAGAGTCAGGGATGCCTTCCCCCCTCCAGGGAGAGAGAAGAGTTTTGCTCTTGACTTTTTAGTTCCCCCATCCCTTCCCACTGGAAAGTCTTGTGGCTTCTTTTGATGTTGCCTGGACTTCCTCGGTGAGATTCTATTGAGGGGAAAGCTTCAGAAATGTACACTGTGATTTTTAGGGTTGTTTCTTTCTCCCTCCCAGCTACATAACCTGTGCTGCTGGCTGCCTTAAACGAAAATAAAACCTCTTGAATGGATTACCTCACCAGAATGAGAAACATGAGAACACAATCTAAGGATAGAGGAAAGGGTATCTTGATTCCTTTTCTTCAAACATGTAAAAGCTTTATTGCCCCAGTTTCAAGAGCCAGGCAAATAGGCATTAACACTCTTCTGTGGAAGTATTAAAAAGACTTAAATTAAATTAAAAATCTATGCTAGCCACAATGTTAACTAGTTAATCCTTATTTTGCAATATTTTAGACACAGAGCCACTATTTTGTCATCCACTTTCTAGTCTTAGACTGGAATCATTCAATATGGATCATAGATAAAACAGATACAGCACATATATGCTGGATGGGCTTATCCCTTCATTTTGTTTCACAAATAATAGCTCTCTTATTAGTTTTAAATTAAAAACCATTAGCCAAATTGTTTGTTCTCTGGAGAAATAATGCCAGTTCAAGTAGTTAGAGAAGAAATAGCTTCCCCAGAAAATCTGTGTTTAAAAAACAAACTAAGGAACAGTCTCACAGATTTGGGGGTGGGGGGTGGGGAGAAGAAGAGAACTTTTAAAAAGCCAGCCCTGCAGATGCTCAAATTTCACCTTTCAGCAATTTCTTTTGAGTGATCTTGGAAGAATATTCTCAGGAAAAATGGGAAACATTCTATTTTATGGAAACATTTAAATACATGGCCCTTCAGTTGAAAGGCTTTGTGATGTAAACGTTAAGGATGACTTAAATCTGTTCTGGTATTCTTCTTTATCAGTGTGGAATTACTTGCATGCTGCAAGGTCTTTGTATACTGCTAAGGTTTTCTAAGACTAGAGAGTGAGAGTCTGCCAGACACCATAAAACCAGTTGTAATGGGCAAAACAGACATGTTGCAACACATTTCAGCCAGCTTTTTGTCTCAGACCAGCATGCATGCACAGTGCATTTGATCGTGCAGTCATTTTTCCTAGGCATAATTTAGGGGTAGGGAAAAATGTACTGTATTCTAATGCATTGTGTTACTCTGAAGCAAGAGTGTTGTTTTGATAGATTTTGCATTTTTCTGAAATACATACAGATGTATTCATCTGCATGTTTGTGGTTCTTTTGAATATTGAGCTTCGCAGATAAAATGTCTTGGGATATTAAGTTATAAGTCACTTTTAAAGGACTTTGTTTTATACAACTGAATTTAATATTTGGGAATACCATACAGAGCCTTAAAGAGATTCCTTATGTTGATGTATGTACAGCAGTGCACATTTTTTTGTAAATATAATTGATATTTTTGAAAGAACTTCCAGTAGTGACTTCTGTGTGTTTTGTTTAAATGTGCAGGTGTGCATTCCTTTTTCTTTTCCCATGGTATAAATAAACTCAAAATCATATGGTATCCAGACTTCCTGCTGTGATGTCCCATAATGCATTGTAAAATCTGTATTGAGTGTTATATCCAAATCATAGAAGCTTTTACTATATACAGCTACAACACAGCCATAGCTGAAGCTTGAAAAAGCAATAGCTGGCTTTTCTGTGGTATATGGAGTCATCCAAAGAATGTGTTGCTGTTATTACATCATCTTTTTCAAAGACAAGCTTGGTTCAATTAAGCATTTTAAATAGATGAAATAGGTTTTCTTTTAAGTTCTGTCTGCTTTCTTACTAAACAGATTTTCAAGGCAGTTTATGAATCAACTTAGTCAAAGTTAAAGGCAGTAAAAACTGTTAGGAAAGCATATTTTTCTGCAATTAAGTTTACAAAAATTGGCAGTTGATAAATGAAAAAGCAGCTATCCATCCAGTCCCAGATCTTTGCAAATAAAAGAAAAACAGTGCTTTCTAAAGGAGATGAGTGAGCAGGTTTGATAAGCCTTCCTGGCAAGAAACTGTACAGTGATGTTTCCATTACTGAAAAATCCATATTCATAATAGTCATCAATATGAAGATTTATTATTTTTGCAACTCTTTGTGGAAAAAGGTAGCCAATTAATCATTGGTTCTTAGATCTGTCAATGATCAAATTACCTAAGCTTATTACTTTATAGACCAGGATATAAATATCCCAAAGTACCCATTGCGAATTCATGTTGCTGGGCTATGTTGTAAATGTGATGTAGTATGGAGGACTATGGTTGTTGTTGTTTTGTAACCTATATTTTAAAGTAATGGATCTCACTATTTTGATGTAATTTCCAGAACTGATTAATTAAATTTGTTGGTTCTTGCTTTTTGTCTGTTTAACATGCATCTAAACCCTAATTCAGACATTCCATTTATAATCCAGTTTCTTTAAAGATCTGGTGGGCACATGATACCCATATACTTCCAATGCAATGTGAAATTCCATCACTTTTAAATTACAGCTTATTATGATCAGTTAATGCTTATTTTCAGGGAACACTCAAACCACAGTTTATTATTTGGATACCACAATGCCCATGAAGACATATGAAGAATGAAGGAGAATTCAGAGAAACTAGGAAATCTCATATTAGTTGCAGAGGGAGAAGGACATAAATTTACATGGCAGTTCCTAATCCAACAAATCTGCCTTGGAGAAGAAATATAGTTACTGAGCCAGCTATGTGGAATATTTGAAATGAATGGTATTTTAATTCATACTACCAATTTGTAATAAATGCAATTCATGATGCATCCTTACATGAATGGACACAAATGTATTTATTAATCTTTCCCTAGGGATACTTTTCAGAATCTGCAGTTATGGGACGTTTGGTTATATTTCTCTATAGCTTATAGATGATCTTATATCCAAATGGTTATTTTATTAAATTTATTGTTTCCCCATCTTACCACAAGGTAACTCTGGGTGATTATCAATATTAGATATGTGGTTTGCTCATAATTTAATATAACAAAACTTATTTACTGTGGAATAATTGTGAAACATGCCATGAATATATTTAAGCTGTAGTGGAGGACAGAAATGTATTACATTTCAGATCTGAATATCATTTGGTGGTCTTCCATATTTAAAGATGGTGGTTGTGACATACAGTATGTTTTATCTGTCTGGTACCTGTTGATTTGTTAAACTTTAATAGCTATGATAGCCAGGCATTATAGGAATTGGGATTCAATATATTTGAAGGGCACCAGGTTGGAAAATAAGGGTAGAAATTGTTAACCACAGAAGCAGCTGCTATTTTCATGACCCCCCCCCCACAAATCCTCGCTTCATTCCATTTCTACTAAGATAGAGTTAGAAGCTTGGCATCTTATTTCTGGCTTCTTTGGGAGAAATATCATAGTAAAAGTATTATGAAAAGAATGTCCATAATTATTTAACCACTCCCATGGTCGAGAAGGCCAAAGGGAATCATTCACTGGTATCAAATTCTAGCTCACCATGAAGGCAAATGTGTTATAAAATGGGGGATAGAACATAGATTGCATTAAACCCATATTATTTAAATTTGGTTTTGTCTTTACAGTCGGAAAGGGTGCACTTTCTGCAGTGAACTGCTTTATTGCTTAATTTTTAAGTGTAATCCTTCCCTTTATAGTTGTCTAGAAATATGCATAAAGATAAGAAAAAAGATTCCTGAATTTCAACGTAAATGTTATTGCTGCTTGCTTTTTTAAAAAAAGATTTCCTGCTATGAAGATGTAGATTAAGATCTCACTTGAAAATGCTGAGTGTTCAGAAACAGCTTGCAAATTTAAATTTAAAAACTGCAGCTATAAGGCCTTTTACATGGCAGCTTCATTAGCAGATTAATCTCAAGTAATTGTCATGATAAATGAGGCTAAAGGCTAAATCGAAGCCAAAATGATAACCATGTTGGAAAATAAATCTAAAGCAAATATAAATATTGAGAACAATTACCTTATTTAAATTAAAGTTCTTTGTCTAGATTAAGGACTGTAGTTCATTCAGGAGAGAAATAACTATCAAAGAATTACTTTGGGTTTATCTGGAACTAAAAATCTAACTTTTGAGATGCCTCTATTGAGATGAAAGGTTACATGCACATACCAGAGATGCTTTAGCATTCCTTCAAGGCATAAATGTAATACATGTGCAGAAATCTGCCTCTGATATGAGAAATGCTTTCCATCTATCAAAATGGTTTCAGTGTGCCAGTTGTTACCTGAAAATCAAATGTTTTAAGCCTAGCTATAAAAATTGGCTGC